AGATATAGATATAGATATAGATATAGATATAGATATAGATATAGATAGATGGATGGATGGATGGATGGATAGATAGATAGATAGATAGATAGAGGGCACAGGGTGAGTTGAAGATGAAGGGGTCACATCTGGAGAATAAAATTAAGGGTGAGAGAGGATTATACTAGGAGAAGGAGAAAGGGAAAGGTAGAATGGGGTAAATTATCTCACACAAAAAAAAAACAGAAAAGAAAAGGCTCTTACAGTGGAGGCGAAATGGGGGAAGGTGAGAGGAAATGAGTGAATCTTATTCTCATAGGATTTGACTTAAGGAGGGTATAACATACACACTCAATCGGGTGTGGAAATCTGCCTTACCCTACAGGAAAATAAGAGGGGAAGGGGACAACAGAGTAGGGGGATGATAGAGAGTAGGGCAGATTGGGAAAGGGGGTTATCAGAAGCAAATGCTTCTGAGGAGGGACAGGGTAAAAAGAAAGAATAGAATAAATGGGGGAGTGGGATAGGGTTAAGGGAAATAGAGTTAGTTTTTCACAGCATGTCTATTATGAAAGTGTTTTGTACAACTGCACATGTATAGCCTATATTAAGTTGCTCACCTTTTCATTGAGGGTGGGTGGAGAGGGAGGAAGGGAGAAAATTTGGAACCCCAAGTTTAAAAAACACATGTTTAAAAAAAGTAAAAAAAAATTAAAAAATAAAAGAAAATTAGTCTTCTTGACTCCAGGTCTGACACTCTATCCACTATGCCATGTAGCTGCCTTCTTTAAAACGATTATCAGGGGCTATTTTGCCCAATTATATGTCAATAAATCTGACAATCTAAGTGAAATGGATTAATATTTACAAAAATATATATAAATTGCTCAGATTAACAAATGAGGCAATGGAATATTTAAATAACTCTATTTTAGAAAAAGAAATTGGACAAGCCATCAATGTGTTCCCTAAGAAAAATTCTTTAGGACCAGATGGATTCACAAGTAAATTCTACCAAACATTTAAAGAACAATTAATTCCAATACTACCATATATATTTTTTAAAAATAGGCAAAGAAGGAGTACTACCAAATTCCTTTTATTTAACAAATATAGTTCTGATATTTAAACCAGAAAGAGTGAAAAAAGAGAAAGAAAACTAAAGATCAATTTCA